AAAAAGTAATCAAAAAGTAAAATAAACACACGAAGTGGCCTATTTCCCGAAATGTTAACCACCATTGCAAAATTTGATTGAACTCAAGGTCCTCGATGGGACCTCGTAGCTCAGATGGTTAAAGCGTTGACTGTGCTCAAGCCTTACCCTTGCCACCTTGGCCTCGAACCCTACCAAGTTCATCGACATACTCCCAGTTGAGTCAAATGAATTCTTAAATACGTTGTCGGTCAGAATGGATTGCTATAGGGTAGTTATAATGCTGATTATTGCACAGCAAAATCTCAAAATACTTCAGACAGACCAGGATTCTGGATTTCGAATGCGTTTTCTTCCGGTCACCTGCGAAAACTACACTAAACAAGAAGCGACCACTAAAATAATGTGAATGCCCCAACGGGTTTTCAATGTTCTTGTGAATCCAAACATGCATGAAAATGTTTTCATTGTACTCGTTTGGTAGGAAATCACTTAAATAATAATGTGCTTGAAGACACGGCAACTTTCGATCATAATGACGTTTATAACTAAGAGCTTTATAGACCGCAAAATGTTCATCCATAGGGCATCGTATCTGTCCGTCTGTTAACGCTCCTTATGAAGGGAAAAGCGTGGTCCAAATCAACTGCAAAATTGTAGAAGTCTTATATGACGAGAATTGCGTGAATTTTATCTATAAGCAAACTTTACAGCCTGTAGTTTGGAAACCCTAAGCGCAGGTGAGGTTACAGATGAGGCTCAAAATTACTGGGAAACTGAAAAATTTCGTAAACACTAAAAAAACTTTCTATTCAACTTCGAACTGTGCAGACGATGAAACTGCTCTAAAAATAGTGCAAGACATGATGTTTTAAGGGTTTTCTGTACAATATATTTGGACAACGGCGCATCGGAAATTGGCGGAAAATAGTTATATTAAACACTTTTTACTGAGTGTGGGTTTTGCAGGAGGCTTCAAAGAAACGCATCTCCAAGATGGAATCTCAGTGTGCATAAATGTCCCTAGATTATGCTGCATGGAAACCAATATTACAACCCGACCTGCAATCATTTTTAGTCGAAAACGCACATACGAATTTTGGTTAATATCTTTCTTAGATGTCCTCATGACTAGACAGGAAGATGGTTCAATAAGGCAAACAGCTTTCCACAAGGACACATGGAAAGGCCAATACCTACACTTCTTGAGCTTTGTGCCGATACAACGAAAGTGAAATTCGGTTTACACTTTATTCCGAAGAGCAAGGAAAATTTATTCTATTAAAAAGCTGGATGCTAACATTTCTTGCCTCAAAACAGCCATGCTTAAACGGGGGCAGCAAACACGGTTAATCAAAAAGTACAGCAACACTTTACGGACAAAACTGACGGAGTAATCAGTTCCGAAAACGCCTGTTGCCATGTCCTGACCCTTTAAGGCTGTCAACAGCTCAAATACCATCAAGCGGCAATTGAGATGCGTCACTGAAAGAACATACAACTCAGCTGCACTCACATTCTGCATCCCCAATAAGGCTATCCAAGTTCCACGGGCGAAGGATGCCTTGCCACTGTACGCCAGGTCAAATTCTGTTTACGAATCCACATGCACTTGTGGATGCAAGTGCATTGGGCGTACGCAAAGGTAATTGGCAGCCAGGTCAGTTGAGTACCTGCCTTAATGGTTTCTTAAGCAGATGAATAAAATTCCACGGTCTTCCATCACAAAGCACCTCTTTGATAGTGGTCATTTGGTAGAACACAAAGCATCATTTCGAGTATTAGTTCGAGCACGAACAACTGGGTTACTGCGCTATTGGGGGCAGCCTACATACGGCGGTAGAAACACGACCTATGTAAACAGTTAGACCACGTGATCAACCTCAGCTTGCCCTGGTAGACCTGAGACCCTTTTGATGGTCGAAATTCCTCGCTGTGCTAACTTTACCGTTTTCTTTCTTATGGTCCGTTTTCAAGTTATACTTATATTGATTAGTCTACGCGTAGTATACGATGTCCTTGCTGTATTATATTGAGTTCCTCTGTGGAAGTTCAAATCTCTGTACATTTTTTACTTATTATTTGTATTATGCAACGACAGGCTGCAGTTGATAAGCCGTCGCGATATCTACTGGTTCCAATGAATTCTGCTGTCTATGCCTGATTTTAACAAACACCTATTGCTGACGTACCACACAAATAACGATTACTTTCTCAGTTGAGAGCATAGATAGCCAGTTGAAATTGTAAATGCTGCAACTATACGAATGGATGGTCGAGATCTAGGCAATAGTCAAGAAGAAGGAGGTGTAAGCGAAAGTTCGAGTTCCAGGTGCGTGTATAAGTGAAGAAGAAGAACATGATGATGATGATGAAGGGCGATCGAGCATCGGAACATTCTATTTATTGTTCTGAGTTTTCGAACTCGTGCAGGAGTTCATCGTCAGCAACAAAAAGAGCGACAATTTTAGGGCGTGCTAGCCAGTCATCGATCAATGGCCCAAGATTTGAGGTGACTGACCAAGGCGCCGTACGCCAGCGTCAGATCGATAAATCAATTGACTGAGCTCTCATCCGAGGATCAGTCTTCATTTAATTCTCGGCCTGTTTTGTTTCCGGCATGGGTGCTTATCTTGGCGGCTGCGATGTCAAACTCGCGACCCAGTTCGTAGGTGTGGGCAGCGAAATGTGATAATTAGTCCTCTCTTCGCACAGCCAGCCTATGTTCGTGCATGCGCGATGCGACCATGCGTCCAGCCTGGTCTGTGGAATTACAAGGACAGTTTTGACACAGTATACGATAAAATACATCAGATTGCTCCTCAGATTCCTCAGGAGATGAGGTCGCCGCAGCGAGCGTTTGTAACACTTGTGAAAAACACTATCCTTGTCTGATAGTGGATTTTACTGTCAATCCGGAACCTTGGGTGAACAGAACCCTCATTTTAATGGTCATGTATTTGCCTCCACAACCGTCGTTTCTACTTTCCCCTCCAATTCCCTGGGCATGTCAGCCGGGATACAAAGGAAGTGCTTAATGCTCCTTGCACGTTTGCCTTATCGCCTGAGCTACTTCATATATTTATTCAAAATAGGATCTTATAATTCCAAATCCACTGTCTGCGGCTCCTGTTGGTGTGGAGCCTAGTCTGGTTTTTTACGAGACGAATGACATCAAAGTACGTATCTACATGGGCTGTGGGATGCTGTCAGGAAGCGTGGGCTGTGATATCGGGTCTTGTTGGCTTCTGGCAGACACCCCCCGGTGGGCCCGTTTGGTTATGCACTTTTACCCGCTACATCATCTGACATTGCGTAGATCTGCGCGATTCACAAACATTCGCACTTCGCGGTTGTCCCCCTATGACGGATATTTTTAGCGTCTTCTGTAAACTGTACTTGAACAAAAGGCGCAGCGACTATTAGCGGAAAATATCCTTATTAAACAAGAAGTCACTTTTTGCTAAGTGTGGGTTTTGCAGGCGACTGGAAAGAAACGCATTCACAGGCCGGAATCTCGGGGTGCATAAAATGTCTCGAGATTATGCTGTATGGTAACAATTATTACGACGCATCTTCTGTGATCTTTTCTAATCGAAATCGTACTTCAAAATTCCGGTAATGTTTCATGAGTCAGGTCACTTAACGTTGACGTTTTATACATTTTACGATGACTTTCGCGGTTCGCAGCGTAGATAGCCAATTAAGTTGTAGGACTTAACAACTTACCATCGAATGGCATTGAATCGCCTACCGAGTACGTCAGCTTCTCTTCTTCCGCGGTACGTTTGATGTATTCTCCGACTCTGTGAATTTCCAATTTGAGAATCACGGTTGTCTAGCAACCCTTTGGAAGAGTTGACTTGCGTTACATTATTGGCGTCTTGGAAGTTAGATGTGAAATAGCGTCGATGTTTTAGATAGATGAGAGGATGCATAGGCTTTATGGTGAATAGGAGTTTGCACGAAACCATTATTCAACGGAGGCTTCATGGTTTGATTCCGACTGGCGACACAGTTTCTCTAATTGTTCATGTTTGCCTTTTCCTTTAGTTTAGTTTGAATAGAAACTTCTGCATTTCAGACTTGCGGAATATAATAAATTTCATTTAAATGAATAATTGTGAGCATGAAGCGACTAAAGAAGCCATGTAACATCAATAAATGTCTGAAATAACTCTGATCTCGTTTTTATATGCAATTGACCAGTAAGAGTTTAGTTGAGGTCTAATCCCTTTGCGTTTACCTCCCGCAGCCTATTTAAAAGTGAGTGTCGACGTTTGAACCAAGCATTATCTAACTTCCAAGACGCCAATAATGTAACGCAAGTCAACTCTTCCAAAGGGTTGCTAGACAACCGTGATTCTCAAATTGGAAATTCACAGAGTCGGAGAATACATCAAACGTACCGCGGAAGAAGAGAAGCTGACGTACTCGGTAGGCGATTCAATGCCATTCGATGGTAAGTTGTTAAGTCCTACAACTTAATTGGCTATCTACGCTGCGAACCGCGAAATTCATCGTAAAATGTATAAAACGTCAACGGTAAGTGACCTGACTCATGAAACATTACCGGGATTTTTAAGTACGATTTCGACTAGAAAAGATTACAGAAGGGTAGTGTTTTTCACAAGTGTTACAAACGCTCGCTCCGGCGACCTCATCTCCTGAGGAATCTGAGGAGCAATCTGATGTATTTTATCGTATACTGTGCGAAAACTGTCCTTGTAATTACACAGACCAGGCTGGACGCATGGTCGCATCGCGCATGCACGAACATAGGCTGGCTGTGCAACGAGATGACTAATTATCACATGTCGCTGCCCGCACCTACGAACTGGGTCACGAGTTTGACATCGCAGCGGCCACGATAAGCACCCATGCCGGAAACAAAACAAGCTGAGAAGTAAATGAAGACTGCGCCTCGGATGAGAGCTCAGTCAATTGATTTATCGATCTGACGTGGGCGTACGGAGTCCTTGTCAGTCACCTCAAATCTTGAGCCATCGATCGATGACTGGCTAGCAAGCCCTAAAATTGTCGCTCGTTTTGCTGCCGCTACTATCTCTGACGATGAACTCCTGCACGAGTTCTAAAGCTGAGAACAATAAATAGAATGCTCCGATGCTCGATCGCCCTTCATCATCATCATCATCATCATCATCATCATCATCATCATCATCATCATCATCATCATCATCATCATCATCATCATCATCATCATCATCATCATCATCATCATCATCATCATCATCATCATCATCATCATCATCATCATCATCATCATCATCATCATCATCTACTTCTTCTTCTTCTTCTTCTTCTTCTTCTTCTTCCTCCTCCTCTTTTTCTTCTTCTTCACTTATACATGCACCCGGAACTCGGTCTTTCGCCTTCGTATCTCCTTCTTTTTGACTTTTGCCTTGAACTTAGCTTTTCGCCTCTCTAAGCACATTTGTTTCACGGACAGCATTATTAACTATGTGCTAGGTAGATTTTTGACTGAAAATATTCCGTTTTAGTCTTTTCAATCCAATATTCTGTCCGATTACGTGCTTTGTAAAGCTAAAGTTTTAAATATTTTAAGGCACTAAAGTCACTAAAACTATCCATTTGCGCATAATGATTGACTGGAGCTGAAAATTATAGTCCCAGGTTCCTGTTGCAGAGGACAGCATGCGATCAGCGGAATATTCATAGCACCCGTCCTGTCTATTCGAGATTCTACGTTCTGAACTTATGAAGCACCAACAACAAGAGTAGTTATTTTTGTCTGAAAACTCTGGAGAAATGTTCGTGTGCCCTTGGTTGGTTTTAGAGTCAGGCTGTCTGACGACCGCAGTGTCACGACGCTATGACTGTACGTACACCACTCCTTGGAGGTTTTGCTGGATACTTGATCGTGCTAGCATAACGCGTGATAGCAGATAGATAGAGCAATATGTCTGCTAATGCAGATGTTGTCTGGGACCCGGGCATCTAGTAGCTCTCGCTCTGTCTTATCGCCAACCAGCAAAATTATCGCTGAGAAGTCGAGTTCATCGTCTTCCTCCAAGCTGTGGGCAGCGGTTGGAGACTGCGGATACTCTCTCCAGGCGGTCTTTTTGTGTTTGCATGTTGGTGAACTGAGTCGTTGTACTATCCGACCTATATAATGACAGGGCTATTCGTGGCATGTGACCTGAAACATTGCACCAGACTGATCACTTTTGTCCATTTGGTTCTTTAACTGCGTGACTATGGTCCTCATTGCAATTTCCGGACGTTGAGTGATACTCACGCCAAACTCCGCTACAATGCACTCCGTCAACCCAGTTACATTTATTACGGACGATAGGAAATGCCAAACTTCTGGTGATTCTCTCCTGTCTCTCCCGCATGGAAAGTATTTGAAAGCAGCAGCAGCAGCAGCAGCAGCAGCAGCAGCAGCAGCAGCAGCAGCAGCAGCAGCAGCAGCAGCAGCAGCAGCAGCAGCAGCAGCAGCAGCAGCAGCAGCAGCAGCAGCAGCAGCAGCAGCAGCAGCAGCAGACGCAGTTGTCTTAGGTGACAGTTCCTTGCTAATTAGCCTCATATGCATCGGCGTCTCAGTATTTGGTCCTTCAGGTCGTCAGAGTGGGTTTATCCCCTTTGGAAGACCGTTCTAACACAGTTGCCCCTGTGCCCCACCGGCTGGTAACTGGCGATCTGCGTTGTGTTGTCCCATTCGGATATTCCGCGATGCAAAGTTTGCCATCCGATCTGGGCAGGACGAGAACACCAAGGAAAACCAACTGTCCTGCCTTCTGTTCCAGCTTTTTGGCCTCACTGTGACAAAATGCGTTATTAAACAACTAACAGTTTGTTAGTCTGCTGCAGTCCGCTTAGTGGTTGAGAGAAAGGCCTTTTGCACATCTTGTAGGACTGCTTCTCCAACTAGACTGAACATCGGGAAACTCAGAGATTTTCCTTTGCTCTGCCAGAATGTGGAACTTTTTGCTTGGTGCTCTGGTTGAAGGACTCTTCTCTTCAAGTTGCCTGAATAGAATATTACGTGCTAGACCCCCCGCGAGGTAGATGTGAATGGTGAAACCATATCGGACGCCATCGCAGTTAGATCACTATGAACAGTTTGCTCCCGGATCTCTTTGCAGTCAGAAATATAATGTGAGTTTCCCGTCAAATGAAAGAGGACAAACCTGCTGGACCGGATAGAAGACTTTGACTGATCACGGAGGAATTCCTCACAAAAGTCACTGGTTCTCCGATATATGTGAATTGGCAACGCAAACAAGGAAATTATTTTCAGCTAGAAAAGCTAGTTGAGTCGTAAGTCTATGGCAAAACACGGGTCTAATAGCTGTAGGTAGCTTCTGATTTTGACTTGTCGATTCTGCAAGCTAATGAAGGTTTCTATAGAAAAAACTAGTAAAATTTCATGACAAGACCAACATATTCGACTGTTCCGACACGGTTTCCAGGTAGAGTGTTCTTTCCTCTCGAGTCCCTTGACTTCGATGGAAGCCTAGTAACGGTAGAGTGAAGGACCCCACTTAACTGTCGGTAGACTGGGGATCGTGTCATATGGGCTTTTATCTTGGCATCCATTTTAAGTCCGTTGAAAACATTACACTGCTAGCATGACCTCGAACCCTAACTCATACTCCGTTGTATTTTGAAAGTTGCTTTTTGTCTATTTTTTAACTAACGCTCCCATTTCCTTTGACATACGAGAGCGTACGGTATAACATTTGGCGGAGGCCCAAACGATTTTTTGTGTTTTTTTTGCATCACGTCAGTTTACTGTCTGGGGTGCTGCCCCACCCGTAAAACCCGTTACCACCATTCCCGTATGCCACTATCCATAGTGTGCCGAAGATAAGGTGGAATTCCCCAGCTTACCGTTGCCAAAGTCTAAAAAAACGCAAAAGGAGACATTTTGACATAAATGCCAAATTTTTCATTTTTTTAAAAACCCCTAAAACTGTTCCACTTCGGTGCTCATTGTGCAAGATGGAAGCTCCGTGGGCAACTATAGGGTGTAGGATGCCCAGCTAACTTGAGCTAGTCTGTGCACTTTTTCATACGTTGAATGGTGGTTAGCGGGGTTTCATTGGTGGGACAGCCCACAGGACGCAGAGCAAGAAGACACAGAAAATAGATGACTTGCTGCCGAAAGTCTTATCGTATGCTGTCGTTTGGCAAAGAAAATGGACGCGATAGTTAAAAAAAAACAAACGAAAAGTAATTTTAAAATAATGACGGACTTTGAATAAAGCGTTGCTAGTAAGTTTACATTTTTTCAGGAATGGAAGGAAGTTTCAAAAATAGGAACGGTGAATACTAGATGATGTTTACAGTCACACCGAAATGTACGGTATATTTTTTGCAGTTGCCATCTACTTGGGTGTCCTGCATCCTATCGTTACGATTCCGTGTGTCAAAAGAAATCTCCGAAAGTTAGTAAAAGCTTATTTCAATAGAAAAACTGTGCTGTTATCTATATACGCGCAAAAAACACCTTTTTGTTAAGTGAGCCTGATAGCCATCTGGTGAATTCTAGACTGATTTTCTAGTATGCCCTGCTTGGACAATCAGCCTACTGTGTGCGTCAATGGTGGTTTCCATACATCGTAGTAGGCCGGGGTTAACCTGGTCCATAACTGCTTAAATTCATGACCTTCAGTAGAGTCTCTTATCTCAGATGATTAGAGTATTAGCAGTGCACAAGTCCTACCATAGCAGTTTTGAATTCGGATCCCATAATTAAGTCAAGTGAAGTATAGTCCAATCAAGAGCATGGGGCCATATTTCCTGAATAGATACCAAGTGTTCGCTCTCCCTGATTTAAATTACATAGGTGTTTTCACAAAAATAAGCTTTTTTCTTAGTGTTTTAATTGCGGAGAATGTCTTGAGGGGCTAAATCCCAGCAAATGTGTTTCCTGGTTTTCGATAATGACTTTCTGAAAGAGGCTCCAGGCACACCGGTTGGATAGAACCAGTGCGAAAACAAAATAACCAGACCGAAGTGTTTTAGATATTTATCTTTGTCTGACAGGCAGCAGCAAGTAGGTCTTTTTCAGTTTTCAGTATAATTCACAGTCATAAGATACTTCACTTTGACTCAACCATGAAGGGGCGTTTTTGGCCACCATTTGCTTGGGCATCCAACGAAAACGTCGAGCTGTAATCTTCGATCTGGCTTCTCCACTCAACGCTTAGTTAAGCAATAGAATGTCCTTTGCACAGTAGTGCTAGAGGTTACGTCTATGAACAGGAGTTCAACCGACTGGTGGCCACAGGTTAGCTTTAAATAGCCCGCCACAATATCACCCTTCCTTCTTTCGTATGACACCTTTCCTAAAAATATAAACGCATTTTATACTAATCTCTTGACGAAACGCTGCACGCAAGTTGGAAAACCCGGTGGTTCTTCCGTCGTAAATTATGACGAACGATAGTTCAGCCGTCTGTACCGACGATATCTATCATGTGTGCCACAACAGTGTGGTCGCATGAACAGTAATTTGCGTATGAATTAGTTTACCGTGACGGCGGACTTGTGCTGCATCTACTGCACCCTCTCCTCCTCACATTCCTGAGCCCGCTATTTGGGTAGTCAGGACAACCAGAGACGGGGTCGGGCGCCGTGTCTGACAGAGCTAAACAAGCCATCTTTACGTGGCACACACGCCTGGCTCGTACACGGTGAAAAAGGTTCTAAATGTAGACAAGAAAGGGTCGGCTGGTAAGGCGTACGACAGAGGCCACTTAAGAAGGAGACATTGCAGCCTAACTCTCTTTCCTGAATGGAAGACCGAATTATTCTGTGGGTTGGTAACCCTCCAGACCACGGCTTTTAGCGTAACATGGTGGTTCAAAAGTTCATCGGCTTGTTTATACCAAAAACTTGCGTTGAATGCCGCGGGTACCCAGAGTCGACCTCACTCTCTCTCTTCGGTCTCCCAGGTGTCAGTCAATTATCGCGCCGGTCCGCTATTCGATGATGCAGGGATTGGGCGCAAGTGGATGATGCGACGTGAACCTGCGCGTAAAGGTACCACTACGCTCCCCGGTGCATGTCTTTTGTTATGCGTGCACAGCCTAAATAACGCGTACCACTACCCTGATCTGACCCCCGTGTTGGTCCAGCGCAACACCCGCGTGGAGGAGGCCCCGATGGGCACCGCAACTGTCCCAAAGGAAACGGCAGTGACTCTTTCGTAACGCTGATTGCGCTAAAATGGACTTAAACGGCGTCTGCCTCACTCACTTTCATGCCAGTCATATTCCAGTGACAAACGTAGGCTAGGAAAACAAATGATTGATTGGGGACCAATGGCCAATGAGAGCAAATTTAGGTGTATTCGTGCCTCACATCAGACGTTCCCCGCAAGCACACGATGCAGGTCTCAAATAGGACTTCGGATTTCTCAAGACGTGATTGATCATACAGATGACGCTGGGAGGGATCCATTGCAGACCCGCTCAGACACGGGCTGAACCAACTTAAAATACTAAGGTCAGTAGTGGAAAACAGTGGAGGAGTCCCTATTGTCACATGCTTTGCGATCATGTAAAATTCCAGACAAAAATTGCATGTACTTTTAGGGGTGACAACACTTGGCTTCTCTCGTGACTCCTTGGAGACGATACGTTATAGCTTAGCCTGAAGCTTCAATAAGCTGCACTTATATTTCGGAGGCTTTTCATTTGCGTAAGAGTATGTACTTGGATCAGTGCAATCCATCGCATACGTATTCATTTTCAGTATGTAAGGCGATAGTTTGTAAACATTAGTTAACTTTAACATTAGTTAACATTACATTAACATTAGTTAACTGTATAATTCTATTTAATAATTTGACATCAGTTAATTTGATAGAAGTGAATTTTTTTAGACAAATGAAGATATTCAGCATGCATTTTAATGGCGAATCCTCTTTAACCTCCTCTTCCAACTCGAGCACGCAATCCCTGTAACGAAAAATCTGGATTCAACTCCCCGTAAGTTGGGTTATCTACGGTGTAGAAGGACTAGCCAATACCACTGTCCTGCGCCGAAATACTGCGAATAGGCGTTTTTTGTTGACCCAAATCCGCGAACTTAGAATTACGGCCTGTCTCGCAGAATTCAGCATTGGAAAAAGTGAATCGGGATCTTGTGAATATCCAGAATTTATTTGCCGCATAAACCACACTGGGAGTAAACGGCCTTCAAAAATAAAAGGCAATATGTTATTCTGACTATGAGTAGATGACATTGAAACTTCTCTTCAACATTTTTATGGCAGCATTTTTAGCCCCTGATGAGATCATCACCAAATGCTGACCCCAATGAGAAAGTATAAAGGCAGGTGACTGACTCGAAATACATCTTCAACTTTTATGAGTACTATTTGACGGCTCAATATGGCAGCACAGAAAATGGTCGTCGATCGAGATAAGTTTATGCTCATTGACTAACCGCTGGCCTTCAGGTGCTCGTTCCGAAGTACTCACTCCTTGTTTAAGTTCCGAGAAAATTAATGCGCGAACTTGGAGTAAATCCTTTGGAAGACACCTTTTCAGGCATTGTCCGAAATTTTATATGAATATTTGAACTTAAATTCATCAGCTACTGCGGAATAACCACGTAATATGCACAAACCGCCAACGGACAATCAGTAGTATAAAACTGTGTAATTATTTACCATGCTGACAACACAGGTAAAAGTTAAAAACCCATCGACCTAAAAAGGTCTGTTCCAAAGGATTTACTCCAAGTTCGCACATTACTTTCCTTGGAAATTAAACAAGGCAGAGCGAAACTGGAGTTCATATACCAGAAAACACACGGGAATGGCTGGGGGACCCACTGATGAGCCGAACCCCTCACAGCTGCGTCGGCCAACAGTATATGATCGGCGAAACACGCTTGTCTAGGGTTTTAGCTTCTACCTGTGTTGTCAGTATGGTACATAATTACACAGACGTACTCATTCTCAGCACACTGGAGGTAACGGACCGCTGGGGAGTTGCAAATTATCCTACCACTCGTTACGAATGAATAAGAACCAAAGGACTGCCTTGGAGTACACAGCCCGGTTACGATAATTTTAATACTGGCGATCCATCGGACCCTGGATGTCCGGTACGTTGCCTTAGACATCCTTGTGACCGTGCCGCTTAAGCCAAGGAATGACAGGGGACCGGTTCGCGTGAATACAGGTCGGCGTGACAGTGTGGTAGTGAATTTTCTCACACTGCCTTCTACACCCTAGATGCCGGTTATTACCTTATTTTCGTAGTCATGCTGGTAGTCAATACTGTGGGCCTGAATTTGGTGCAGAGCCAAGGCTGAGGTAAGAACCTGTCATTAAACTGCTGCCCGTATTCGAAGACCCACGTACTTGACTGCGGATAGGTGGCATAAGTACCAGACTGACCGAGAAGTAGAAGCGATCGCTGGAACAAGAACTTTGTTCATCTGACGTTTCGGGTTCTCACTGGAACCCATCATCAGGGGCAGTGTTTTAGACGGGTTCTTGCTGATTGTCCGGGAGTCCGCGACAGTTACGTTTTGCCTCGATCAATGGCATAACTTCCTACTCTCTTTTAAAATTTCGAATTTACTGGAGTTATTTCGTGTTCTGATAGGCTTGCAGAAACACATTGGGGATGTATTAAAATCGTAGACGCAGCGACCCTGTATTCCGGGAAGAACTCATCCAGATTTTATGGCTCAATAGTTTAAAATAAGGCTCAAAGGGCCGTTTCGGTCCTCCTGATTATTTCCTGTATCTGCCTATACTTTAAAACTGGACTCGAAGGAAAATACGCCAATGTCCATTTCCACTACGCAGTTAGGAAAAATCAATCGCCGTCCGTTCCCACATGAGTTCGGAAATGCCCCAGTTCTAAACGCCGAGAGTCAGTTAGTGTTGCGATCAACACAAGCAACCTGTAAAGCAAAAATTTTGGATGTCTAGTCGATTGAAATTCAAGCCCGAGATCCGCCCGTACAGAAGCTGAAGTACGGTTGGCTAGTGACAGCAAAAAAAACAGGTATGGCTATTTTGGTCCCTCCAGCCCTTGTCTGAAACACTTCAGGTTGTTGCGGTTTTATTGCTAGTTGATATTAGATATAAATAAGACCTTACATAGACCAGTCCTGCAGAAAGCATGAGCATTTTTTTGCCATTTATAAAGTCGTATCTGCGTCGAAACGTCTGGATCTGAGATGCGAACTTGAGCTGATAATGCTAGTTTGCCTAAGTAGAGAAGGCTTACTTACTACTACAGTTAATGTGCTAGCGCATGAAATGCTAACAAAATTTTAAGATGCATTTTCGCCTCAAGAAGCTTACTAACGTGGAGATGGAATAAATAATAGCCAGACAGCATGATTTCATAGTATTTCAGTTACTTCAGGATGTCGCCTCTCAAACGAGCTTTTTTCCGACCGCCTGCCAAAACTACACTTTGCATAAATGATTACTTAATAAGAGCGATTTTCCCCACTGATTTTTAATGAAATTGTAAGTCTAAATATATTTTATATAAAACACGCATAAAAATATTTATTCTTTTACTCATTTGGTAGGAGATTACGTCTTTTTTAAATTTCCTACCAGAAGGAATGGTATAATTCAGTTTTAAAATCTTTTCCTATTCCCGAATAATTTTTCAACTCGACCTGCCGTTTCACTTGCATTTGGGGTTTTAAAACTACAAGTCGTATATTGTCCACGTACAGAAAACCATATATTTCTCTACGTTATTAGGAGAATAACGTACAGTCGTTCATAAACGTTAGCAGTCGATTTGAGCCATGTTGTTTGCTACAGAAGCCACATTGGTAAGTGCAAAGACATGACGTTTTATAAGCGAACATCCCAGGTTATTACAAAATCTCACAATTAGAAACCTTTAAATTTAATTATACTGTTCTTTCAGGCATAAAATTCAAAGAAGACGTAGTTTTCCACCAAAAGAGTAAAAGGATGACTATTTTTATATACATTTTCCACGAAAGATATTTGGATTCACAGAGGAATCGATAAGCATACAGGAAACTTCATGCTACAAAAGTAGTCGTTTTTAACTAAGTGTAATCGGAAAGAATTTAGTTTGAATGCCGGAATCTTGAAATAACTGTATTCTTACACGATTATGCTATATGGTTGTTAATATTTCAACCCTACTCAAGTTATCCTTCCGAGTCGAAATCGCATTTCAGAATTTCGGCTAATATTTAATGAGTTTGCATATCTATTGTACTCGAGCTAACTAAAGTAGGTCTTGACGACGAGTTTATCGATTAAACATGCCCAGGGAAATTTACCTGTTGCTCTGCAGTTTAAATCGTTCAGAGCTGTCACAGCAAAAAAATCAACAGAATTACGAGTTTCAGAAATGCACTTTAATGGCGCATTTGCTCTCTGATGTGAAGTTTGCTCATTGAAATTCACGCACGAAACACTTCCCAGCAGTAGTTTAACTGAATAAACGTAGATTTTTTTTACATAAATTGAACAAATTTTAGAAAAGGCAAAGTTCAGTCTAGATAACAAGAACAATGTCATCTGTTTCAGTGGTTTTGAAAGACTCGACTGATTCAATGTGCACGAGGAACATTCCCACAAGTCCGAATAGTAGAGGTCCGATGGGTCCGCCAAAAACGATGGCGTTCTTCAAACCCCCGAGCAGTGAAAAAAGCCCAAACGCCACTAAAAGGGAGCAAATAGGATGTGCGTTTTCGATCAAAAAATTTCAATGCAGTAGATATTTAACTGTAATGTAAAACATTCAGATGTTTAGTAAATGAAGAGATGAACGCGCTACATTTCCTTGAAGAACACTGCGAGTACGCTGTAGTATTTTTCTATGCACTTCAATGGAACATTGTAGGAGTACAGCAAATCACTGTACGAGATAGATATCGGCCGATTACCCTGTTATCCAACGCACATCAACGAGAAGCTTATTTCAGGAGAGCCAGTAAAAGGAGTCTGGAGGATGTGAAGTTTCTTCGAAAGGTACATTTTGATCAGATCTGCAAAGCTGCAGAAGATAGCTCTCAGAATTACACGTCCAACTCGAGTTTCCTTGCTTGAAAGAGACCATGTAGTTTGCCTTCTAGGCTCTGAAAGAGCACAGTTTAAACTGCCGACAATTCAACGCCATGACTTTCAATAGACGTGCTATTCCGTGTTGTGGATTCCAGAAGTTGATTTAATTAGCCCTGTTATATTAAGGATCATGGACCATTATCCTATGATATATCGGTCATGTCCGAATTTTGCCTTTTGAATGGACGCTATTCTACTTGGATCACTGAGTATACAAAATGAACAGAAAATGGACTTCCAGCTTAAACTGGCCCTAGTAGTCAATTGGCGAGGCGTCCATATTTGAGCTTTGGGGACCCCATGGCCTTGAGCGGGAGGGTAGACAATCACTGAAGGCGAATGGACGAGAAAGTGCAATTGCGAATTCTTTTTTCCTTGTCAACATAATTTCTTGTCTAATGATCACTCGTCACCATGACTGTTTGAATGGATCGCAATTCCGCAAAAGGCGGTGCCGCCGTATCCTGCGCAGTGGTCAATGTAGATGTCATGGAAGCAAACCATACACTAGATGTGCTATCTCATGAAATGTTAGCCGAATTTCTGGAATGTGCTTTCAATCTGAAAATATCACTTAAGTAGGGTTGTGGTAATGTGTGGCATGCAGTTTAAGCAAAGGGTATTTCAGTCAACTCAGAATGCCAACTTTTAAATGAGCTTCCTTTCGGCCGCCTACGAAAACAACACTCCGTAAAAAATGACATCGTGCGTGGGACGAAGTTTTCCTACTGGTTTTCGATGTCAGTATACATTCAACTATATTGTAAAAAAACAAACATAAAACCTTTTTCTTGGTAGAATTGATAATAAGTTATCTTTTCTCTAAGTTTTATACCTGGAAACAGAGTATCTTCTGGTTTTTTAAAAGCGTTTTGAACTCCCGAATATTTTTGTTCCACCTGCCCTTACACTTGCATTTAAAATTTATAACCTAAATGCTATATACATCCCGTCAAAGGACTATCACACATTTCCCTACGTTCCTATGAAAAAGTCGTATAGGATTTATAAGATTGTATAATTGATATGGATAAGCTTTTGTACTTTAGAGGCAGCATTAATAAACGTACTGACACGATGCTGTGTGAGCGGGCATCTCATGGTTTTAGAGAACCTCATAATTAAAGACTTTTTTTTATAACCGTAAGATGCCCCACCTTCTAGTAAAATATTTAAAGAAAATGTAACTTGCTATCGAATGTGCACAAGAAAAAATATTTTTGTGCATGTTTGTTTACGAAATATACTTGAATATATAAGGGCATCGAAAAACAGTGCTAAAAATGCTTACAAGTTAAACAGTCATTTTTTCTGGAGTAGAGTTTTTCCAAAAATTTAGAATGAGATTCGTTCATGGCCGGAATTTTGACGGGACAGAAAATAACTCGAGGTTATGCTGCGCAATAAAATATATTGCGACCCTACTTAATTAGTATTGTCAAACGAAATATTCATTGCAGAATTTTGGTTGACATCTAATGGGATAGCACATCCATTATAAGAGGCTTACTAATAGGGAATGTTCAGAAAAGTTTGACAAGAGCGTTTGACGTATGTGCTTAGTTTTTTACCAAATCTCGGTAAACAGGCTCTCGTAGCGCAATTCAGAAATCATCATTCAGTCAGTAATTAACATGGCAAAGAATGACACATTTCCCGGTCTGTGCAAGTGCAGATATACTTGAATCAACTGGGATAGGTTATTAACTGAATGCGATTGATTTCTGCCTCAGTTATGTTAATATGACACAGGGCAATGTAGCCATAAAATATGTGTAAACATAGAGGCCTAGTGAGGCAATCAGATCCATAATACACCTAAAAATCGATAGAAACAACATACTGTCTTAGTGATTGTTATTAACAGAGTTTAATTTTATGGACGGACAAACGTAAACTCATTCAAAAGTCGGTATCCTTGCGTGACTGAAAAATCTGAGGACACTGCTGTACGACCGCAAGTACTACTACCTTAATTAAGTAATCTTTTAGAATAGAAAACATATTTCAGATTTTTTCTGATATTTCGCGATACAGCATATATAACCTACGCTTATTGCTAGGTGGTTTTCGATTTTGTTTGTTAGAGGACAGTGAGGACTTTGGAAGTCCAATTGTCAAGGCGACATATCCACGAGGCTTGAATAAAAAAATTACAGGGATTCAACAATACCATTAGTAGTCCTTAAGCCAATCTTCCCAGGACAGACCATGCTTAGAAATTTTTAACTAAAGATCTAACTTTTACAGTGGAGAATCGTAATTAGATCGCATGTTGAGAATTCGTCTTGGCTACGTTTATGGACAATTCAGTCCCACTTTCTATGCCGGTGTTGCCGTCAGACAGGCTTTGCACTTTATATCAACCCGACAACTCACTTCCGTAGAGGAAGGCGTCTGTGGCCGCCGGCAGAGTTTCGCTGTATTTATTATCCGACAGGCAGGCAGAGCAGCAAGTGGCGATACAGAATCCGATGGCTATAAATAGCCAGCTACTGAACAAACATAGCCGCTCCACGGCGAGATGTCCTAAAAAAGCAGGACGATCAGGTTTTAAGGAAAATAAGCGGAGGAAGTAGGTTATGAAAGGGAAAATAATCCTTTGAAGACCTCATACAGTGTGCAGCACTCAGTCCGGATATGGCTGCACATTCTGGTTCTGATAATCAGATGGCGGATCATACACAAGTGTGGCAAGTCAGATCTTAGTTCGAGTACAGGCTGGGTTCTATTGAGTGGTCATCCATTCTGTCTTTCAATCATTTCGACAAAGCCATGACTGCATTAACAGTCCCCCGCTTACTGAAAAAGGAACTTTCGGATTTTCTCCTCGTTCCCGGCAAGTAGCTTGCTGACTGGATTTCGTACCTTCAAACCTACAGCTTAAGGCTTCTGAATTATACAGGGTTAATTTAACTTGATTCAACTTACGGTTCATGCTTACGTGGATGCCCCTTGTGGTTTACTTCGAGTTGTGATAGTCTGTTCATCCTGATGGTTGAATTTTATAAGACTTATTCACATCGGCTGATTAATTAGCCCATGCAGTAAAGCAAAATTACTTGACACCTATTTGAGGAAAAGCAATGTGATGCCTATCAGCGATGTCGTGTAGCTTTAGTATGATAACTCACATGAGGTAAGAGCACAGTTAAATTCAAAAGGACTGACAATTTGGTCGCTTATTTTACAGATTGTCTTTGGCCACCATGTTGAGCTCGACAAGCTGATTCCAGTAGAATGTTAGATCGGTGACCTCGAAGCCTTTTTTGCGTTCTCAGACACACGCTATCGCAACTACCGCGGACATTAGCGTACTTATGCGTTGAACCTGTTAATCCGCATAAGACAGTTTTCTACACACGATGTTCTCTGCCCGAAGGCAAGAACACTCGGGTTTCCGCGTAGCCATTTGACCGATGTAGTTCAAAAATCTGATATTCCAGAACTAAATCGTCCTGCTCTTTTTCTCAGAAGGAAATACCCCTCGAATATGGTGAAATAACACTGAGTAAGCCACTTTCGACATCAACGTTCTCGATACTGAGTCTGCCACAGACCGAAAAGACGCGAAATTTGAACGGGATTTCCGTTGAGCAGTGAGCTTAGCCGTCTGTTAGCCCGGTCACTGTCTCACCCTATCAACTGAGGTCAGGGGTACCACCTCCCCGATCTGTCCTGATCGATGAAAGATGGCGTTTTATCTGGCCTCGGACCCAAGGTCCATTGGGCAAACCGCAAAAGACGCAGATATTATGCTTGGACTAAATACTGGCCTTAATGAGCGTCGACTGTTCATCGCCCTGCACCGAGCGTCAAGGCAAGGCCGAAAGTCAGGATACCTTCTGACGGTCAGTGTGGGTCACCGGAAATTAATCTGAAAGGCTATAAACCTTGCCACTTTGGTGACAGGACACAATTATTGCTTTTCTTGGATATATATATATATATATATATATATATATATTAGAAGCATTCAAAACTGAACCGAGTGACTTTTAAAGGCGCGTTATATCTTCACTAATAATTGTAAACTTAAGACGAGAATTATATGTTCGAAATGCTGGTTTCCAGTGAATGGGTTGGGGGCGGAATGTTCTTACAGAGTACGAAGTGAAAAACATTAAAGGCCCCATCAAAATCGACTGAGATGTAGTAAGTTGATATACAAGCGTAAGTTTGATGTTTCTGGCACAGGCTTTCTGCAGTAGCCAAATTAAAAAAACTCGTCAGTTTGGGCTGTCTACAATCAGCACGTCGTGATATCCTGCGCGAATGCGACAAAAGTGTTATAAGATATACGTTAGCATAGCGTATTCTACTTCTGCCAGATAAATCATGTTGTACTAAAGGTATTATAAAATAAATACATGAAGCAGGGCTACGCACCTGTCGAAATGCCAAGATCAAACAGCAGCACATGACTCAGCGCGATGAAAGTCCCAATTAGATAACAGGTCTTCAAAAGAACATAATTTAGCCTGGTGTGATATTTATTCCATACCTAAAAGTGTAAAGTAAATGGGTAGGGTCACGGTGGAGCATGCAAGTACATTTTTACAAACTTTTTTGACGCACCGAGTGTTTTTTTCTACTTCAGCATGCAGACACGGCTGGTAACGTGGTTCGGGTGAAGTAAACCGTCTAGTTCAGTCTGCTGACTTTCGAGGGGGTAAGCTAGACGAAATTCTGAGGTAAATAAACGTGTTTGAAAAAGGTTTAAATTAAAAAGCTCCAGCCAGTCAAAAGTATGACCTAGGCAGCCAACTGGTGTATTAAGCCAGTCATCCTGATGATAATGACCGCAAGGAATGGTTTTTTCTTCTCACCAGTGTCCAGCGTTGACACTCCGTCAGCAAGAGAGCTGAAGTTTCGAGTTCCAGAATGACGAAGACCGTTACCACGACAAGTTTTTTGCAAGAACTAAACATATGCGCGGAGAAAAAAATACTAACTGCGGTTTGGCAAAGTCAACAGCGTTTAAACACCTCCGCTTTACTGCCAGACGCATGCACTCCACCTACCATCATTTCGAGTATTTTTTTACTGCATGGCCGCCCTACGCACCGGATTTTTTTAGAACTGGTCAGCGGTGGGTTCACGTGATGGTCGTGGTGGTCGATCACTTGCTTGCATATGAGATTACGCCTAGCCTTCACTTGCTGACACTCAACTTTCACCTGTGGCTCCACGTAGCTGGGCTCTGCTCAGCGGCCACACCCCGGGCAACCGTCTCGACCGGCGGGCTAAACCAGGTGAGGGGGCCCTGTGCGCTGTGCCGTGTGCACAGGGTTTGCGGATTCCGCTGGATGGAAGGTCGGATGGAACCTTGCGTCGGCACCGTCGTGACGTGGTTCGTCTCTGCACGTCGCTGGACAGCCGGTGACGGGATGGGTCTCCGCATCGACATCGCCTTGACGCGCCCACCTACGCCGTCGGAGACCGCGGCTTACGGAGAATTCGAGTCGCTCTCCACTACAACCCGAAGTCGTGGCCCCATAGTGGAGTTCGGCCGTGCCACAACGGCACATGGCAGCCCTATTCAGGGATGGCACTGCCACCCCCCACGAGGGGAAGGGCCTAGAAAAGGTGGCCTAAACATTGCTGGGCACCACGCCCTCTTCGGGCTAGCCAGGGCCGCAGACGTCTTAACATGGTCGAAACAATCAAAATCGAAACAACAACAATACCTATAACAACAACAACAATACTCGCTAACCTCCTCATCCTACCTCTTCTTTCTCTTCCTCTGCCTATTCTTCTGCCTACTCTTCTACTTCGCCATCTTCTTCTCAACCTCCTTCCCGTCGCCCCACTCGTTGTCACCAGACTGGCAGGGTGAGTCCGCTCACTCTGGCAGCCTGGAATGTTCGTTCCCTTTTAGACAATCCGAGGAGCAACCGACCGGAACGAAGGACAGCGCTAGTGGCACGGGAACTGGCGCGCTACAAGGTGGACATCGCCGCACTCAGCGAGACCCGATTCTCCGAACGAGGCTAACAGGAGGAGGTGGGTGCCGGCTACACCTTCTTCTGGAGCGGTCGACCCAGGGCAGAGCGACGGGACGCGGGTGTCGCCTTCGCCATTCGGAACGACATCGTGGGACGACTGCCCTGTTTGCCGCAGGGCATCAACGATCGCCTGGTGAGCCTCCGTCCGCCTCTCTGGGGAGGCAAATTCGCCACCATCATCAGCGCCTACGCTCCGACGATGACCAACCCCGACGCCGTCAGAGACTAATTCTACGAGGACCTGCACGCCCTCTTGGCGACTGTGTCGAAGGCGGACAAGTTGATTGTCCTTGGTGACTTCAACCCCCGCGTCGGTACAGACCATACTGCCTGGAGAGGAGTGCTGGGTCCCCACGGTCTCCGCGGCTCAAACGACAATGGTCTGCTGCTTCTCCGCACCTGCGCAGAACACCGCCTCATCCTGACGAACACCTTCTGTCTGCCGGAGCGAGAGAAGGCCACCTGGAGGCATCCACGGTCGCGCCAGTGGCACCTGCTGGACTATGTCCTCGTCCGTAGGCGAGATCAGCGGGACATGCTGGTGACAAAGGCGATCGCGGGCGCTGACGGGTGGACCGACCATCGCCTCGTCATCTCGAAGATGCGTATTCGCCTACAGCCTCGCAGGAGACCACAAGGTAAGCGACCCCCAGGTAAGCTGAATGTTGCCTTGTTGTCTTGCCCGCTCACCATCTTCATTTCAGCAATGAGCTAGCCCAACGGCTAGACAACCTTCCTATCGCTGCCGACGCCGCCGCTGCTGAGAACGCCTCCGTGGAGAACCGCTGGTGTCAACTGCGAGACACGGTCCAGTCGACGGCGCTCGCCGTCCTTGGTCGCGCTCCCCGCAAGCACCAGGACTGGTTCGACGACAACGACGCCGCCATCAGAAATCTGCTTGCTGAGAATAACCGCCTACACAAAGCCTACGTAGATCACCCCACTGATACCACCAAAGCTGCCTTCTACCGCAGTCGCCGTCAACTTCAGCAACGACAGCGCGAGATGCAGGACGCCTGGACTGCTCGCAAAGCTGAGGAGATCCAAGGGTACGCGGACCGCAACGAATGGAAGAACTTCTCCGCGATCAAAGCTGTCTACGGTCTGCCGACGAAGGGCACTGCTCCTCTCCTCAGCGCCGACGGCAACACTCACCCCACTGAGAAGACGCAAATCCTACAGCGATGGGCCGAGCATTTCCGAGTCGTCCTCAACCGCCCCTCGTCATCTCCGACGCCGCCATCGAGCGTTTGCCGCAAGTGGAGACCAACGTCGGCCTCGACCACCCGCCATCTCTCCAGGAGACCATCAGGGCCGTGCAGCAGCTCTCCAGCGGGAAAGCACCCGGATCGGACCCAATCCATGCAGAGGTCTACAAGCACGGAGGTCCCCAACTGATGGATCACCTGACTGCGTTCTTCCAAGAGATGTGGCGTCAAGGTGAAGTCCCGCAAGATTTCAAAGACGCAACCATCGGGCATCTCTACAAGCGCAAAGGGAATCGCCAATTCTGCGACAATCACCGCGACATCTCCCTGCTGAACATCGCCTGGAAGATATTCGCCGCATCCTTCTCAACCGCCTCAATAACCATCTGGAGCAGGGCCTTCTGCCGGGAAGCCAATGCGGCTTCCGTCGTCATCGTGGGACCACGGATATGATCTTCGCCGCCCGTCAACGTCAGGAGAAGTGTCAGGAGATGCGGACCCACCTATACTCTACCTTCGTGGACCTGATGAAAGCCTTCGACACGGTGAATCGTGAAGGACTGTGGAAGATCATGCAGAAATTCGGCTGTCCGGAGTGATTTACTCAGATGGTTCGTCAGCTGCACGACGGTATGATGGCGCGAGTCACAGACAACGGAGCTGTCTCAGAGGCATTCGCAGTGACCAATGGAGTGAAGCAGGGCTGCGTACTGGCGCCTACCCTCTTCAGTCTTATGTTCTCTGCCATGCTGATGGACGCCTACCGCGACGAACGCCCCGGGATCCGTATCGCCTACAGGACGGACGGTCACCTGCTGAATCAACGGCGGATGCACTTCCAATCGCGCGTATCCAAAACCACCGTGCACGAACTCCTCTTAACCGACGACTGCGCCTTAAACACCACCTCGGAAGAGGAGATGCAACGGAGCATGGATCTGTTCTCCGCCTCCTGCGAGAACTTCGGTCTGGTCATTAACACGCAGAAGACGGCGGTGATGTACAAACCGCCACCCAACTCAGCCACAGACCCCAACGCGTCGCCGCAAATCAGCGTGAACGGAACCCAACTACAAGTGGTGGAGAACTTCCCGTGCCTGGGCAGTACTCTCTCCCGCAACACCAAGATCGACGACGAAGTCGCCAACAGGATCTCGAAAGCCAGTCAAGCCTTCGGTCTCCTCCAAAGCACAGTTTGGAATCGCCACGGTCTTCAGCTGAGCACGAAGCTGAAGATGTACAAGGCCGTCATCCTGCCGACACTACTGTATGGAGCGGAGACTTGGTGTACGCAAAGCAGGCACGTCGTCTGAACCACTTCCACCTCAGTTGTCTTCGCCGCATCCTGAGGCTAAAGTGGCAGGATCGAATCCCCGACACTGATGTGCTGGAACGGAGGGGAATCCTCAGCATCTACGCCATACTGAGCCAAATGCAGCTGCGCTGGAGCGGCCACCTGGTGCGCAAGGACGACGAGCGGCTACCCAAACGACTCTTCTACGGAGACGTCGCGACGGGTTCTCGCCGTCAAGGAGGCCAGATTCGCCGTTACGAGGATACCCTGAAGTCCTCCCTGAAACGCCTGAAAATCAACCACACCAACTGGGAGGAACTCGCACTCGATCGGCCGACCTGGAGGAGGACAGTGAAGACAGGCGCTGCGATCGACGAAGCCAACCGCATCGCTGCCACCAAAGCGAAACGCGAAGCCCGCAAATCACAACTTAGCCCAGTACGCAACGCCGCCGCACAACCGCTTCCAACGTGTCTTCGGTGTCAACGGACATTCCGGGCTCGAATCGGACTTGTTGGACATCTTCGGATCAACTGTACCTCTCGAACTGCACCAAACTTCATCCCCCCGCCCGCGTCATCCTCGTCCTCTCTGCCGCCAACTAACTCTAACAATTCTTCTGAACCACCACTTCCATCCTCCTCCTCCTCCTCCTCCTCCTCCTCCTCCTCCTCCTCTGCCTCCTTCTTCTTCTCCTCC